GGGGGGGGGGGGCTTGGTGGGGAGCAAGGTATCCTCTCAGATCCAGGAAGCCTCCCTCCTTCAAGCAGGTGGAGGAGGAGGGGAGGCTTAGGTTCTACCTCTGGACTCCTAGAGCAGAAGATCCTGGGACATGGACTCTTAAGTGTGCCCTTGGCAAAGGTCCTTCCACTCTCTGGGCCTGGATTTCTTGGTGAGGTACCTGCTCCCCACCTGAGATTTGGGGTGCTAAGCTCCGCCCCTAACAAGCCATAGGTGTGTAGACCTGTGTCTGGGATAGCTCAGAGAGGCCTCAGGCTCTGGCCAAGCTGTGGGAGGGTGAAGGGAGAGGTGTTGCTGGGGCAACCAGGCATTATCAAGAGTGAGAGCCTTGGATCTGGCTGGGGAATTTGCAGCTGTGGCCCTGACGCTCAGGTCTGGGCCTGGGACCTTGATGAACTGATGTGCCCCCATCCCTGACTTAGTAGGAGCTCAGCCTTTGATTTCCTTGGTTAGGGGGAAGCTGAGGATCACTGTGTCCTACATGGTTAAAGGCTCCAGTTTTGGAGCCAGCCAGAGCTTGGGAAGTTACCTAGCTTTCTGAGCCTCACAGGTTCATGATCAGTTAGCAGGAGAGTATCTTCGAGTACCTGCCTCGAAGGGCTGTTGTAAGATCCATGAGGGCAGAGAGACTGTTTTCCTTCCACCAGCACCTGGCATGGTGCCTGGCATGAATTAATCACCCTGCAAGTGTTGGTCTACTGCTCTTTTCTGGTCGAGTAGGACTAGTAAGAGGTGTGGAAGGGTCTGGCCTAAGAGAGGGAAGAGGGAAGTATATGGTCAAGAAACCTCGAATTTATGGGGATGGAGTCCCTTAGTTTTTCTGCAGAGGGGAGATCAAGTTTGTAGCTGACACAGAGGACAGAGCATTGGCTTTTGGATTCAAGTTGTTCTTGGTGCAAAAGCTACCTTGCCATTTACCAGCTTTATAATACTTGCCCTCTCTGGTCTCCATTTCTGCATTAAAAATGGGGATTAAAGTGCCAACTTCTTAGGATTGTTTAGATTTCAATGATTTGTGGATATAAACTATACAGCTCCAGTTTGTTTTCCAGAGAGCAAGGACTCAGCCATCTGCTTGAGTGGTTTCTGAGAGGTGGGGCAGCAAAGGGAGAAGGGGCTACAGAGGGGTCTTGCAGCATGGGAGCCACTGTGAATTCTTAGATCCCTAGGGACTCAGTGAGAGGGGTGCTATGCGAGAGGGATGTCCTCAGGCAATTTAGGGGGGGGGCATCACTTTATAGTTCACAGACTTTCTCTTCTATGTTCTTAACTACACCTTTTGGAGTTGCTAGGGGGATTGATCTTTTTAATTTTTTAAAATATGTTTTTATTGACTTTAGAGAGAGAGGAAGGGAGAGGAGGGATAGAGAGATAGAAACATCGATGAGAGAGAAACATTGGTCAGCTACCTCCTGCACACCTTCCGGGGATCGAGCCCACAACCTGGGCTTGTACCCTCACCAGGAATCGAACCTGGGACTTCTTGGTTCATGGGTTGATGCTCAACCTGTGAGCCACAGCAGCCTGGCAAGGGATGGATCTCTTTTAACACAGTCACTACCCAACTTAACCTTCATTTTTACTGACCAACCTCTTGGGGCTCTGGATAAAATTCAGGCTCTGCCAAGACCTGTGGGGCACTACCAGTTCTGGCTCCCGCCTCCTCTCACTTCTCACCTCCTGCCATTCTCTCCCTGGCTCACCATGTTCCAGCCACACTGGCTTGTGTTCTGGGAAACCCACCACTCCTGCCTCAGGGCCTTTATACTTGCTGATGCCCCTGTCTAGAAGGCTCTGTACTTTTGCTGCCTGGCTCCTTGTTGTTTTTGTTTTTTCATTATTTATTTATTTATTTTTTTAGCAAAGTTGAATCTTGATCTTAGTTTATATAAATGGATTGACAGGACACTACACCCTTAGAAGAAGGAGTTCAGCCATAGTTGGGAAGTTTGCTTCACTAGTCACAATTTCTAGGCTTTGATCTTTTTTTCCAATACAGTTGAATATCTACAATGCAGGTTTAAGATTTGGTGCCCACTCCCATCCTTCTCATTCTTTAGGTCTCAGTTCGATGACCTTTCCTTGGAAAGGCTTTTCTTGATGCCCCCTAAGGTCACCCCTTCCTGTCACAGCTCCTCAGTCTTCACTTTCCAAAATTATATTGTTAGTTTACCCCATTCATGTATTCATCAAATATTTACTGAGCTCACAGTATGTACCAGGTGCGGATTTAGGCACTGGTAAACAAGGTGTTTTCCATCAGGAATAGCCCCCAGTACTAGCTTAATAAATATTTGCTGATTGAATGGATATAATAACTTTATAAAGAGGAGTTATTGGCCTTGTTTCTATATGAGGTCATAGCTTGTGTGTGATGGAGCTGGATTTGAACCTGGACCTGACTTCCCTCCAAGTACCGCATCCCTTACTACCCTCACCTATGAGTTGTTTCTTGGCCAATTCTGTTCTCCCTGCCTGGTGATTCAGCAGAGTCACTGAGTCACAGAGTGAGGCCAATGGGAAGAATCTTGGGCTGGAGGAGCAGGAGTTCTGTACTGAAGGCCTGCCTCTGCTGTGTGATCTTAGAGAGTTCACAGTGCTGCTCTGGGCTGCTGCTGTCACATTACCAAATGGGAAGAAAGTCCTTTGGAAAGTATGGAGCTGCACATACACATGAGGGTTACCACCAACCAATGTGATGCCACTCTGGGCATCTCCCGGCTTCCTAGTGTCCTGGGCCTGTTCCCACTTCTGCAGGGGCCTTCATCAGTGGCCTTGCCAACCCCTCAGGCGCCATCCCCATAGCAGTTCTGGTCTGCCTGGCTGCTCCATGCTCTGAACTCCTTCCCCAGAGAATTACCATCACTGGCCAGGAGGGCCTGGTGTGGGCGCCATGCCAAGTCTAGTGGCTCTTCTACCTACCATCTGGCAGCTGGCAGCCCTGCCTTAGCTTTGGCCCCTAACTGTTTAGACAAGGACTTGGGAACAGGGTTAGTGGTCTGCCCCTGCAATTGAGTCTCTTCAGCCCCCCTAGCCATACTGTTCACCAGAGCCGAGCACCCACAAGCTCAGGCCATCAGGTGCCCTGTGAGTCAGAGGGTTCCGGCCCCCGTACTCCCCTTGAGGGGCGGGGTCGGCTGAGGGGCGGAGCCGGCGCAGGTGGGAGGAGGACCTGGAGCCCAGCCCCTCCCCCGCCTGGCTCCGCGCTCTGCAGCTGGGCGGGCTGGCGGACCGCATCCCTTCGTGCTGGGCTGTGCTGACGGCGTGGCCTGGCGTTCCGGAGCGGTCGGGATAGGGGTGGTCTGAGTGGCACCCGCAGTCATGGTGGTGTTCCTGGGCCGCCACCTCCCGGCGCTCCTCGGGCTCTTTAAGAAGAAGGGTGAGTGGGTGTGGCTGGGTGGGGGGAGAGGAGTGCTCCCCGACACCTCCATTTGCCAGACCCTGATGTAGAATGGGGGGATCAAGGCTGGGGAAGGGGAATGGATGGAGCATGGGGGCCAGTAATGAGGCCAGACTCTCCTGCCCGCGGCCGTGCCTTTGTCGGGCCTCTTTGCTGCTGCCTTTGTCTGGGCTCTGCCTGTGTTTGGGAGGGTGGATCCAGGTGTCTGACCTTGAAGCCTGCAGCCCGAGGGCGGGACTGCCTCCCTGCAGGGGTACCCATGATTTACTGGGGACATCCCAATACCTCAGTTCCTGACGGAAGGGCACCCCCTCCCGGGTCAGTGTGTCTGGGAGGAAGGAATGTGGGGAGCAGAGTAGAGAGGAAAACAGTACCACTGGAAGTTGGGGAGCATGATCAGTGAAATTCTGTTTAGAAGCTTGGGGGTGAAGTTTCGGAAGGAGCGACCTATGCCCACTTACTTGTCATAGGAACTGGGCTTTTAGGCCTGGATTAAGACATGGAGACCAGAGTTTATTGGATTTTGGGGGGCTAGAGGATCCCCAGTTTGAGTGTGACCCAGGAATCCCCTCTGGGGACCAGGAATTTATTCCTGGAGTTTAGTCTGACTCTGATTTGTTGGGTGACCTTAAACAAGACCTATCCTCTTTGACCCTGTTTCCCGATTTTATACATTGGAGATTGGGATTAGGTGAAAAGATCACTGAGAGACCCGGCTCTGACCTTGTGGGATTCCTGGAGATTCCCTAAGGCAGGAGCTGGCTGTTGAAGAACGGGCTGGGGGAGGAAAGTGCAGGTGTCTGAACTAAAGACCCTGAACCTTGGGTGTGGCCCTTTAAAGGGCTGTTTTGTTCCTGCTGCTCTGCAGGGTGCTGCCAGGGTCACATGACCTTTCCAGCGCTTTTGCTTATGTTGTGGGTCCATTTAAAGGGGGGCTGGGGCTGCAAAGTGCTGACACAGCCCCCCCATTCCCAGGATTAGGTGACCAACTTCCCAGTGGGCGGGGCCTGTAACAAGATCATTTGTAATGGATCTCTGGCTTCTCTGTAGGGGGGGGCCTCCAGGAGAGGGGGTACCTGGGACTGTTCTTTCAAGAGAGGCTGGAACTTCCTTTTCTAGGGGTATAGGGGCCTGGGTCTCTCTTCTCCCATACCCTGCGTATTCTTCCACTAAAGGACAACCACATGGGTGAGTAGGGGACCCAAGAGGCCATATGCCTGGTTTGTCCCTTTCTGCTAAGAGTTCTTGGTAATCTAGTTATAAATCCTGCTGGCCCCCACCTCTTCCTAGTGTCCCATGGTCTCTCCTTCCTGGACCTGGGCCAGGGTGTGTATGAAAAGGGTGTTTTGTTGTTTTTTGTTTTTCCTATAAAGTAGAGCTTGAGGTCTGGAGATCAGAGAAATGTATTTGCTATAAGACTGTATGTATGCTCGGTGTCTTGCATAGGGCCCTGAGTGACGTGGATACGCACTTGTGTGTGTGTTTGGATATTGTTTGTATATGTGTAGAATGGGGACTGTGGGTGTTGTGTGTATACGTGGGGACTGGATGTGCTCTGTGGGGGCCCCTGTGTATAATGTGTGTACACAGATGTATTTATATTTTGGTGCTTTGTTTATATACACACTGAAGCCTGTGGGTGTTATGTAGGAACACAATGGGCCTGTGTGCCCTGGCTGTGGTGCCCTGCGGGGCCCTTTCTGTGGTGTGGGTACTCAGATCTATGTACACTTGGGTGTAGTTTCTATATGCACATGGGGCTGTGTGTGTATTGAGTACATACCCCAGAATTGTGGGTTGTGTCTACAGATTTGCAGAAGTGGGTGCTGCATGTATGTGCAGGGTCCTTGTGCAGCCTGGGCACTGTGAGTGCCCTTGTGGTGGTGCCTGTGCACCCTGAGGGCCCAGATGCCTTCAGACCTCACTTCTCTTCCTCTTCCATCCCACCAGGCTCAGCCAAGGCTGAGAGTGACAAACGTCTAAGTGTAGGGCCCGGCCAGGGGCCCGGGTCTGTAGTGGATGAGCACCAGGACAATGTCTTCTTCCCCAGTGGGCGACCGCCTCACTTGGAAGAGCTGCACACGCAGGCCCAGGAGGGGCTCCGTTCCCTACAGCACCAAGGTAACCTTCCCCTCCCCTCCAGTGCTACTCTTGGCTCCCAGGATGAGAGGCCTAGCCCAACACACCTTTATGGTATCTTCCAGAAAAACAGAAACTGAACAAGGGTGGCTGGGACCATGGAGACACCCAGAGCCTCCAGGTGAGCCCTGCCCCCAGCTCAGCCTGACTCTACTTTTCCCTTCTTGCTCTACCTCTGGCAGTTATATCTCTGAACCCTTCTGGATCTCAGTTTCCTTCCTGTATCATGAAGGGCTAGACTAGATGACCCCTGAAGGCTTATCCAGCTGCTGTCTGCTCAGTGCTAGGTATGCTGAGGGCAAACTGGATCAGAAGTTCCTAGGGGGAGCTCTAACGAGGCAACAGTAAACCCCACCCAGGCCTCTGGGTTGGTCTTGGGCCTGATCTCCTTTTTCTCTCAACAGTCCTCCAGGACAGGGCCAGATGAAGACAGCATCTCCTTCTGCAGCCAGACCACATCCTACACGGTTGAGAGCTCCACAGCAGAGGATGCTCTCTCCATCCGCACGGAGATGATCCAGCGCAAAGGTGTCTGCTCACCAGCAGGATTCTTGGACAGGGAGGTGGGGTGGGTGGGTACCATCTGGGTCCCAGCACCTGCAGCTTCCCCCTTTCCTCCTAATCTAGTGTTTCTCAAGGCTCTGATTCAGTGAATTCAGGAAACACTACCCTGTGTGCTCTTGGAGAGTCATGATGCACATTAATTGCAAAGCAGGACAGTTAAGAGTCAAGAACCCTGGGTTTGAGCCTGATATTGCTACTTACAGCGGTGTGACCTTGGGCCAACCCTTAACCTCTGTTAGAGCTTCTGATGTTCTATAAAAATGAAGACAAGAGCCCTAGCAGGTTTGGCTCAGTCATTAGAGCGTCGGCCCTCAGACTGAAGGGTCCCGGGTTCAATTCTGTCCAAGGGCAATGGTAGGCAACCAATTGATGTGTCTCTCTCACATCGATGTTCCTCTCTTTCTCTCTTCCCTCCCTCCCCACCCCTTCCACTCTGTCTGAAAAGCAATGGGAAAAATATCCTTGAGCGAGGATTAAAAAAAAAAAAGAAGAATACTTACATTATTGGAATGAATGCCAAGTATTTAGCATGCTAACACATAATAAGTGTTCACTAAATGGAAATTACCGTTACTGACCTAGTAAACGGTAAAGCCTTCTAGAAAAGAAGCATCTAGCATTTAGCTTTGCCCATGTTTATTTGACTCTGGAAATCTGTTTTTGCAGAGTTCTTACTGATATTCTACAAACGTACTGCTCTGCAGAATATCCTGAGACCTGCTCTAATGGTTTCTCTCCCCTGTACTGGCCCCCAGGCTCCACCTTCCGGCCCCATGACTCATTTCCCAAATCATCCGGGAAGTCAGGGCGGCGGCGGCGGGAACGGCGGAGCACAGTGCTGGGACTGCCACAACACGTGCAGAAGGAACTCGGTGAGCCCTGGATTAGGGGGGCAGTGGTGGTGGGTGGGGAGCCCTGGCCAACCCCTTTGCTGACTCCCAAGTCCTTCCTGTCCGTGCCAGGCTTGCGGAATGAGCATGAGGCACCAGGTACTCCTCGGCCTCCTGGTCCACGGGATGCTGTACGAATCCCCACGGTGGATGGCCGCCCGGCGAGTCTGGCCTCAGGAGCTGGAGTCCGGGTGTCCCTGCAGGCGCTGGAGGCAGAGGCAGAGGCTGGGGCCAAGGCAGAGGCCATGCTGCAGCGCCACATCGACCGCATCTACCGAGATGACACCTTCATTGGCCGGTCCACAGGAGCTCAACCCCCGCCCATTCCCCGGCCTATGTCCCTAGCAGTGCCCGGACTGACAGGAGGGGCAGGGCCTCCAGAGCCTCTGAGCCCGGCCATGTCCATCTCGCCCCAGGCCACCTACTTGTCAAAACTGATCCCACATGCTGTGCTGCCACCCACAGTGGATGTGGTGGCCCTGGGCCGCTGCAGCCTGCGCACACTGAGCCGCTGCAGCCTGCTTTCGGCCAGCCCGGCCTCTGTCCGCTCACTGGGCCGCTTCTCCTCGGCCTCCAGCCCACAGCCCCGCAGCCGCCACCCTTCCTCCTCCAGTGACACCTGGAGCCACTCTCAGTCCTCTGAGACCATTGTGTCTGATGGCTCCACCCTATCCTCTAAGGGTGGCTCTGAGGGCCGTCCAGAGGGCTCTGTAGCTAGCAATAGTGTGGCACCCCCTCCCCAGGGGGGCAGCGGGAGGGGCTCTCCCAGTGGGGGCAGCACTGCTGAGGCCTCGGACACTGTCAGTATTCGGAGCAGTGGGCAGTTGTCCAGCCGGAGTGTGTCCCTACGTAAGCTGAAGCGTCCCCCCCCACCTCCCCGCCGGACCTACTCGCTTCGTCAGCGGGGCTCAGCAGCCCCTGATGGGCCCTTGGGGTTGCCTCCCAAGCCAGAGCGGAAGCAGCAGCCACAGCTGCCTCGGCCGCCCACTACTGGTGGGTCAGAAGGGACAGGGACAGCACCCTGTCCGTCCAACTCAGCAGGCAGCTGGGTGCCTGGCTTGTCTCCAGGTGGCTCCCGGCGCCCCCCACGCTCCCCAGAACGGACGCTCTCACCCTCCAGTGGGTACTCGAGCCAAAGTGGTACCCCTACCCTCCCTCCAAAGGGTCTAGCGGGCGCCCCTGCTTCCCCAGGCAAGGTCCAACCCCCTAAACCAGAGCGTGTCACTTCCCTCCGATCTCCTGGGGCCTCTGTCTCCTCCTCCCTCACATCTCTGTGTTCCTCCTTCTCTGACCCAGCCCCCTCAGACCGCTCTGGTCCACAGATATCGACCCCCCTTGGTGACAGGTTTGTTATACCTCCTCACCCCAAGGTGCTTGCCCCCTTCTCGCCACCTCCCTCTAAGCCCAAGACTCCTAACCAAGCTGCCCCTGCTCTGGCTGCCCCCGCCCTGGTCCCTGGGCCTGCCTCTACCACTGGTGTCAGTCCTGAGTCTCCTCCCACCCCTCAGACGTCCCTGACTCCACCACAGGAATCTCCCATTGCCTCCAAAGGCCAGTCACCCCCACCATCCCCACCCCCATCTTATCATCCACCCCCACCACCCACTAAGAAGCTGGGGGTGGTTGAGGAGGCCCCGCCTGCCCCAGAGACTGCTGAGGAGCCCCTCCAGGATCCCAGCTGGCCCCCACCGCCACCCCCTGCACCTGAGGAGCAGGACCTGTCCATGGCTGACTTCCCCCCACCAGAGGAGGCCTTTTTCTCTGTAGCTGGCCCTGAGCCTGCAGGCCCTTCAGACCCTCCAGCCCCTGTCAACTCCCTGGCTGCTTCACCCTCAGCTACTGTCTCGTCTCAGAGCCAGCCCCATGGCACCCCAGATCCTCCAGCTCCACCAGCCCCCCCTGCTGGTTCTGTCACAGGGCTGGCCAAGCTCCCTCGGAAGGAACCAGTGGGCTGCAGCAAGGGCAATGGGGCTCCCAGGGAGGATGCCAGTGCACCCCTGGTCACACCCTCACTCCTGCAGATGGTTCGACTACGTTCTGTGGGTGCTGCCACAGTGGCTCCAACTCCAGCCTTGGGGCCATCAGCCCCCCAGAAGCCACTACGAAGGGCCCTGTCAGGGCGGGCCAGCCCAGCACCTGCCGCCTCCCCAGGGCTCCATGCTGCCGTCCGACTCAAGGCCTCCAGTCTGGCTGCCAGTGAGGGTCCTGTGAATGCCCAGCCCAATGGGCCACCTGAGGCAGAGCCACGGTCTCCCCAGTCCCCTGCCTCTACGGCCAGCTTTATCTTCTCCAAGGGCACTAAGAAGTTGCAGTTGGAGCGGCCTGTGTCCCCTGAGAACCAGGCTGACCTCCAGCGGAATCTGGTGGCTGAACTTCGGAGCATCTCAGAGCAGCGGCCACCCCAGGCCTCAAAGAAGCCACCTAAGGCTCCTCCACCTGTGGCCCGCAAGCCCTCTGTGGGAATGCCCTCACCCACATCCCCCAGCTTCCCTCGGGCTGAGCCCCTTACTGCTCCTCCAACCAATGGGCTCCCTCATGCCGAGGGCAGGACTAAGGGGGAGCCAGCCGAGAATGGAGGCGTCGTTCAGCTGGTGGGCCCAGAGGAGAAGCTGGGTTCACCTGGCTCAGGTACAGTGAGCAGCGGTGGTATGTGGGTCCTGTTGCTGGTGATAGGACTAGATATCTAAGTGTCTCACCATTTGGGATTGCTCCTGGATCTTCAACACTAGGTCTCAGGATGCCTGGAAAGGGTGAATTCACCCTTGAGCTACAGTAGTGTGTGGGGCTTTGGAGTCAGAACTACTGGGTTTGAATTCCAACTTTGCCATTTTATCTACCCATCCTGGCCTCAAGCTCCTCACTGACAAGTGTGGCCAATGGTGTCAGAGATAGTGTTTGTAAAATGTTTAGTGCAGTGCTGCTAGTATGCTCAGTAAAGCGAGGGGGGAGAGGGAGGTAAGAATGTGCCTTGGGCTTTGTCTAGAGCCAACTGCAGAGGACCTTATTGAGTCTCCCTTTTTTCCCACAGACCCACAGAAAGAGCTGATCTGACCACCAGGCACCTCACTGGCACTGCTGACCCATCCCAGGAATACAATCTCAGGGACCTGAGCAGCTCCAAGGATGAGAGGATACGGCAGACACTTAACCTAATAGAGAGGATGCCTGCAGCCTTAACCTCCACGGCCTTCAATGTTTATGCAAGCCTGGTGTTGACCCTGTCCTCCAAGTCATCCAGCTCTCATGCCTTTTCCCGAATGGAGTCACCTCTGGCGGCTGCCACTTCTGTCTTGGCCTTAGCCTCATCTTGAAGGAGGTAGCTGGTGGGAGTGGGTGGCTGTGTCCCATGCTGGCCCTGAGGCCAAAGTTGGGAGAACACCTCACTTGTTTGTCTCATTTTTTTTCATGTCCAAATCATAAAATTACTGTAGTCCAGAATCAAAGCACTTTCAAAAAGAGACTGCATGTCCATCCTCCAGGGCCCATGAAGCCACATTCCAAGGGCCTGTTTACATGGCAGCAGCATCGGTTCCCAGTAGCTGGCCCATAAATGGGATCATCCCTTCCCTCCCATCCAATTTGCTCCTTTCTTAGTTCTTGGAGGTGGGCAAGTCATTGTATTCCCCCAGGCTGGAGGCAGGAGCAAGGCTGTGGGGTTCCAAAGCACAAAAGGTGCAGAAGGGTTAGCCTTCCTGTGCCTCAACTTACCACCAACCACCCTCCTGCCTTCCAGTTACGCTAGGTGCTCCATGCAGGGAACAAGAAGTGGGAGACTGCCAGGGCCCAAATGGGTGGGGAAAGAAAGAGCCAGAGAGGAGGTCCACAGGCTCTGTCGTCAGAGAGCAGGAGAACAGAATAGGGAGTCATCTTGGGGGGCACTTGGCAATGCCAAGCATCTGTTCCTTGTTTCACCTGATCAGGTTGGAGTGGGCAGGCACAGCACTTCAAAGACTGGCAAAGCTGGGGGATTTGGCAGGGGAAACCTTATTTGGGCAGTGGGCCCAGCCCCCGCTCTACAGATTTCATCCCTGACCTTTCTTTCCTCGCCTTGGTTCACGTCCTCTGTGCAGCTGCTTTCGGCACAGGTGGTTCCACTGGGGGGGAGCTCACACTGAGTGACAAGGATGGGAAGCCAAAGGTGCATTCTATTCCAGACTCTTCCATAGTCAATGGAGGGGGGCCACTCAGTGCTCCAAGGGAGCAGGCTAGGGGTTACCCCAATATCAGTCTCTGCTACTGATCTCTCCTCCAGGAATTTTAATGACCTTTGTTTTCGGCCTGTGCCACCTAGATAGGTAAGCTCGCCTCCCCACTGGCCTCTATGGCTCCACAGTGATCCAGGCTTGAGTCTGGCAAGGAACCGTGCCATTAGCTATTTCTCTTCCACTAGAACAAGAGGGCAACGGGATGTGGTACGAGAGAGCCCAGGTTTCTCTGGCCCTCTCTCACAGCTTCCTCCCTGTAGCTGTAAACCAATGCTCTTCCCTAGCCATTTCGGTAATGAAGAGCTGCTGCTGGGTATGTGTTGTGCCTGCCCAGGGAGTTGGGGAAAGATGGTCAGTAAGCATTGCTCTGCTTAGAGCTCAAAACCCCCAGGAATCAGGACCAGGCCAAAGCCTCCATGAAACCAGGTCCTGGCAGTACCCTTGGAGCTGCTGGAGGTGGGAGGGAGCCCAAATTCTGTCTCTTTCCCTCTCCTCTCCTCTCAATGTTACTCAAGCTCCTTTTCCTGTTAGAATCTTCTGAGTTTATTTCCCCACTGGGTGGGACAGAGCACGGAGAAGGATCTAGAAGCAACCCTTTTTTGTCCTCTGGGGTAAATGAGCTTTATCTAGTGCAAGTGGAGAGACCAAAAGCCTCTGATTTTTAATTTCCATAAGAATGTTAGAGAAGTATATATATATATTTCTTTAAATTTTTGAGTCTTTGATATGTCTGTACAATCCATTCCCTCTGCCCTGAAGCCTGAATGAAACACATGAAAAAGCTGTGTTTCAAAGGTGTTAATTAAATGATTAAAACTTGGCTGTGGCTACTGCTTGTTAATGGGGGAGGGGCAGGGTGGTGGTTGGGGCCCACATTTAGGATGGAAAATGTTCTCCACACTGGACCCCCAAAGTGGGCCTCTTGTGCTTAGGACTGCCAGAGGGAGTCAGGTGTCCACCCTCCACCCCTCCCTCACCCCATCCATTAAGGGTCAAAGGTACAAGATAAAAGCAGCCCCACGCTAGGCGAGGGGCTCAGCAGCTGCTACACACTTGTGTTTCTCTCTCCTGAGATAGTCCAGTTCACAGACAGGCCTCATCCAGACACCCTTTTTCAAACCTTTTATTTGAATTCACAACAGGGATGGTTAGTGATACTGATTGAGGAGCACCCCACCCTCTGTGAAGAAAGAACTAGGCTTTACCATCCTTCTGATGTTAACAACACAGCTGGTTTAGGGATTGTCCCAAACTAGCAGATCAAGGGAAATGCCAGGAGCGCAGGGCAGGCCCTGCATCCAATGCCAAGCCTTAGGGCTGGCAGGCATTGGCCAATGCTGCTAACCACGTGGCAGACCACTAGGTTCTCTTGTTTTCCCTTCCCTTTTCAAATCCCACAATTTCCTGTTGGAGAGCTGTAATTAACCCAGTTCAGGCACCAGATCCTAGGCAGCGGCACAGCTGCTGGGATAACTCTAGGAAAACCTGGAAACCAGTGTTTTTCCAATTAGAAGGATTGTGGCATAAACATTTTCTGTGAGTTATATTAAAACCAGATTTCTCAAGTCAGCTGCCAAGGGAAGAAGGTAGAGCTAGATTCCCTGCTGCTGCCCAGCCCTCGTTACTACCTGGGAGGTCGGCCTCCCACTGTAGCTAGACTGGAACAATCCTGGATTCTGGGGTGGTGGAGCTGCCTCTCAGCAAGTTCTGCACCTAATAAAGCCCCAAACTTCTTGCTTCAGTGTCCTGGGAGATGGGTAAATGGATGATAGATGGAGCAAACTGAGGAGACAGATGACTCAGGATGAAGGGAGAGGGTGGAAGATGCTGGGTTAGCTAGCTAATGTTCCCCCCTTTCAGCGATTTACAGGAGACATGCCCCAGCTTGGTCATGAAGTCAGTTTGCTTCCACTGTGCGATGCACTCCTCAGAAATTTTAAAGTCAGCCTGGACAAGAAACAAAAAAAGGGATTATAGTGATGGTGATGGGACTGCAAGAAAACAAAGACTCTGATGCCACCAGCATGTAAACAGACTCTACTTCTCTAAGAGAGCAGTCTGTCAAAAGCTCCCATGTTCACATCTTTTGACTCAGGTAAGCCTGAAACATTGCTGGAGGCAAAAATAACAAAACTGAAGCTGTCCTACTTTGGGCACATCATGGGGAGGCAGGGTTCCTTGGAAAAGACAATAATGCTGGGGAAAATAGAAGGCAAGAAGAGGAAGCCCAAATACGAGAGGGGTTGACTCCATAAAAGAAGCCACAGGCGTGAATCTATAGGAGCTGAGCAGGGCTGCTGTGAACAGGACACTGTGGACATCACTCACTCACAGGGTCACCAGGAGTCGGAGCCAACCCAATGGCACAAAGTTCATTTCAGGGACTTAGTTTAAGAAAATAATCACAGTAAGATCCCTCCTCAGTATTTAATAGGGAAGTTTTTCAGGCATAAAGTTAAAAAACAACAACATATGGGATGACAAACTGTAAATATCTATGTACGGAAAAAGCCCAGAAGGAAATAATGACATTTTTTAGTATCTAGGTAGTAGGACTATGGGTATTTTGTTTTCTTCATTTTCTCCTATATTTTATACATAAAAAAATTTCCTTTATGGCCAGAAAAAAACTAAGTGATTCCTAACACCATCCTGGAAAACCGGGAAAGGAGGGAGGGACGAAGCCATTTGGCACATACAGCAGGACAGAGAGGAGAAACCACTCAAAATGTCCCCTAGAAGACCTTCATCTAACTGAGGAAATGAGTTATGTTAGTGCATGTGCTGCTGAAGTGGGCGTGAGGAAACAAGTTATGAACCAGGAAAGGTCACACGTATCGTGCTAGTTCCACAAGGAGTGAGTTTTCCAAGCGCCCAGAACGATGCCTGACACAGAGAGGAGGAGCGCCCAAGATGAAGATGGGTGCAGTGACCCAGAGGGTGCTGATCCTGGCTCCACCACTCATGGTGACCCTGTGTCGCCTTGGCAGGTGTCCTGCCAGGTAAAATGGGGGTTATCTGTCACAGACAAGATCAAAGGAGGAACCCTCTCAAGTCCCCCACGCAGTGCCTCAAGTGTCCTGTCAGTGCTCAGCACATGCGAGGGCCCCCACGCCCCTTAGGCACCTCATTTAGAAAGGTCTGGAATGAAGAAGGAAGAGGGCACGTTTGGATTCAGTAACAGAGCAGCCAGGGGACACACACAGTCCAGGCAGCCCAGGTACGAGGGGAACAACCGCAGCTGTTTACCTGCAGCTTCTCAAAGACTTTCTTCTTGGGCTTCAGCTCCTCATCTGGCTGGCCCTTCTCGTAGCCCTTCACAAACACTCGCTCACCAGGAGCAGAGCCTGCGGGAGGGTCCAGAGGCTCCACCTTGCGGCTGACCCCTTCCCTGGGAAGACACACAAGATAAGGAGAAAGTGAGGCCACGGAGAAAGTGAGGCCACGACTGCTTCCAGCTTCGTGGAGGCCAAAGCATTAGAGCCTCCACATGGAGGCCCAACAGGGATTTTGGTCACCCTCACAACTGTACCACATGTCTGGACATCATCGGGGTTGGGTTAACCAGGGCTAAACTGAAGCCCTATGTCAGGACTTAGGGGAGGAAGTACAGCATATCAGAGAGAGCAAGGCCTTAACAGTCCATCAGAACTGGGTTTGAATCCTGGCTCCACCTCTTACGAGTGCCAAGAGGTGGGCCATGTACATACACACTGCTTCGAATCCTCCATTTCTGTTTTAATAAAGTTAACTGTAGGTAAAGCGTTTCATTCACAGGACTTGTACAATAAAGAATTCCTCCACGCACCATCTTTGGGCCAGTGTTCTTAGGGCTTCCACCTGGCATGTGGAGGGGCATCATGTGGGCCTGTCGGTCCCCACCCTGTGGGCCTCCCCCGGTCCCGTGCCCCACCCCAAATCCTCACTCACGTAGAAGCACACAGAAGCATGCCTTGAGACTCGATTCCTCGCATCTTCTGGGGTTTCAGGTTGCACAGCACCACCACCAGCCTACCCTGCAGTTCCTCCTTGGGCACAAACTGCACCAGGCCGCTCACTATAGTCCGTGGCTCCGATTCCCCTACATCAATCTTCTCCACATACAGGCTGTCTGCATCTGGGTGCTGCCAGCAAGAGAGGTCCGTCCCAGAGTGTCACAACGGAATAGATCATGGGGTGTGGTGAACCCTCTGGCTCCAGAAAGGGGCATCTACCTAGAGAAGCCCCTGAGGGAACCTCTAGAACTCTCTTTCTAGGTCCCAGACAGCAGACAGGAGACCAAGCCTTGAAGGTACATTCTACTCTCAACCAAGAGGTGGGATTTGAGTAAAATGAGCCTAATTACTTGTGTAAGGGGTGGTAGGAATCTCTGAGAGGGATGAAATGGCCTGGATTATTGGGGTGGCTACCATTATGGCCACAGTTGCACCAGATCAGTCCCAGGTGCATTGGAAGATGGAGGAAGAAAACTGCTGGTGTCACCAACTGAAAGCACCAGCGGCTCTCAAAGTAATTTTGTGGTTGGGTCTATATAGTGAAAACCCCATCAAGCTGGGAGGAGAAAAAGCCCACAAAAATGGTCCCAGCCACTAGTTGCATAACCTTCTGTCTCTGGGAAAAAGGAAGTCCTTATCCCTACACCATTTTCTGTGTGTGTGTGTGTGTGTGTGTGTTGGGGGTGAGGTTGGGGTTGGTTTGGGAGGCAAAGTGGCTGATCTAAGTGAAGGCCTGCAGCTAGTCCCGACAAGCTGGTAGAGAGGCCAGGTGAGTCCATCAGACCGGATTTAATGCCCTCTGACTAACATCCACTCCCACTCTGAGCTCCTGGCTGTGCTGGGCTGTGTAAGGTCCAGAGGCAGCAAAGGGAAAAGCCTGAGGCCTGGAATTGGAAACCTGGGTTCTGACTTGCAATATGACCTCAGGGATGTTACTTCCCATCCCAGGCCAGGTTTCCTCCAGATGGAAACTGACAAACCTAACCTCTATTTGCCTCTGGAATGCAGTGAAAACTAGTACCTTGTCCACACTAATGACTTTCCCCACGCGGATATCCAGCCGGGATGGGATGACCTCCTCTGGTTCCGAATTCTTGGCAGGGCCTTTGGCAACTGGCTCTGGGAATGAGAACTCCAAGAGTCAGAACTGTCCTCCTTCCCCATGAGAGGTCAACTGCTGATTCCACCAAATGAGAACACTAGCAGGCTTTCGTGCAGAATTGTCAGAACCTACCCACAGGTTATACCTTCATCTATCTACCCACCCACCCACCTATCATCTATCTAATCAATCATCATCTAATCCTTCCTCATTTAACTTTCTGGAAAGATTTACAGAATTATGTATTAGTCGTGTAGGATTTCATGGAAGTAGCAAACTGAGGACCTGAACAGGAAACACCATTATTATTTTTATAGAAGGCAGGAGTCCTGGCCTCTATTTTACAGTGGTCCAGACTTTTCTTGATCCATTAAACTTTACCTTTCCATGAATGCTACTTCTGAGTTATATCTTCTTTAAAACAGGGTTGGCAACCATAGAGAAGCGACACACTAGACTTCCATCTATTCTTACTCAGGCTGGAGGGGAGGGGAGGGAACAGTCATAGCTTTGCCACCTTTAGGTGATTCCATTCATGCATTCCATATATATTTACTGTCTTTCCTGGGAGGGGTAGGTTGGCCAACTCAGAGCCAGTCAAATGCACATACAAGGGAAGTGAGTGAATCTGAAGATGAGCTTCCCTGAGAAGCTGTGCAGGCTCTGCCTGGGCAGTTGTGTCGCCCTCCTGGCCTAACCCAACCGGCCTCCTTAACTGAAGAG